GACATACACAAGTGAAAGTGACTGGTACAACAACAGAAAAACATTGAAGCAGCGACAAAACATGGGGACATACAAAGAAATACAAATATTGAGACAACATGAAACATTACTATATGGGAAGGAGGTGCGTGTTAGAGAAAGAAAAAAAATATAATAATAATCAAAAAGGAAAAACTTTCAAAAAACTTTTACAAAATTATCAAGATCATCAACACCAACTTTAGGGTTAGGTTTAGCAAATGAAGGCATCTGATTGGTCAATCATGGCTCATATCTGGATTTCAGTCACATTATCAAAATATTAACCCTAGGATAATGGAGAGGGCTAACACAGCATTATTTAAAGCCCAAATGGTTCGAGGTAGAGGAGTTTACTTACAAAACGTCCATGGATCCCTTTCCTATTGGGCTTCGTTAGCGAGTTAGCATTGTCCTATGTTCTCTCTGATTCTAACTGTTGGTCTGACGTGCAGATGCTGGAGGACTGCTGAGAGCGCTCACACAGTTCTCACACTTGGCTGCAGACACGATCGTGAACGGCAGCGCCACAGCTCACATGGCGCCCACCGATCACGCAGACCGTAAGTAACACTATGTAAGCTTGAAATACTAAAGTGCTTTGAGTGCTCCTGTTTATTTGCTTATTATTTCTATTTCTATTCAAAAGAAAATAAACATTGTACATAAATATAACGCAGTTGAAGGCAAGCGGCAGGTTTTCATGCTGTAAGTGGCACATAACCGTAACAGCGCGAGAAGCTCTGAGGACGCAAACATTTAATATTTACGGAGCTCATTTTGTCCTGCAGGAAGTGAGCCTAACCCTAATCCTTACCTTGAATTTACAGTGTCTGCCCCCAACTTGAATCTTTTATTTAAATCTGTTTTAAGAGTCACAAATAGCATTAAAAAGTGAATATTTCCCTCAGCCAGAGACAAAATACCAAGGTTCCAGTAAGACCCGCAGCGCGCTTTTGCTCACTTTAGCTGTTGCTTCCATGTCGGAGAAATGAATGAATGGAGTTCCAGTATTTATTGATGCTGAACGTCAATATATCACGCTTCTTCCATCGATGTGAATGAAATCTGGTTAGAAGGAGTTCAGTGTTTGTTTACAAGTTCTACATCGGCCTTTTACAACAGGCATTTCCCCAGTTCCCAGGATAATGGAAAACAAAGAAACGTGTAAACTTCCCTGGACAGAGCGTCTAAAAAACCATGCTATATAAACCACGTTGAATAACCCGAGAATTCTGGTAATTGTCGTTAATACTGATGTTTCAATTTAGTCTATTAACGATGAATTATCCTGGTTACCATTGCAGGACTGACGGACAACTGCAGAGGATGTGCCACTCAGAGTCTTCAGTATCTGAAGGACCTAAAAACCAAAGTGTCGCTCCAGAAAGCCGACCCGGCCGCTGTTCGACTCATCATCCAGAAGATCCTGCACCTCGGACAGGTGACGTTCAGACAGACTATCCACTGACTGTTGTTAAAGCTGCACTAACTGACTTTATTTTTGTATTCATTACAAAAATCCAGTCCATATCCATGCAGTGCATTGGGATAAACGTCCTTTTGAAGAAAAATTAGCGCAGATTTGAGCTGGCGTGACATTTTATTTTAGATCGAGTTTTTGTGAAACAAGGAAGAGAATGTCTTTCGGGTCCAGATTGTGACCAATCACAACGGACCACTGGCCCCCACTTTCTTGAGAAAAGCCACAGGTCTGTGGTTAGCACAGACAGCGGAGGTAAACGAGCGGCAGAGGCTAACCTGAAGCTTCCCGTGTCTTCGTTACCGGTTACTAATAATGCTAAACAGGTAAAGTAGGAAGGAGGAGAGGATAGTGCTCAAGTTACCATACTGCTCCAGCAGGGGGGCTCCCTATGCAGCTTGACTGACAGTCTGAGGAGTTTAGCCAACACAAAACACACACCCCTCTAGCGTACTGAAGGCATCACTCTCTCTCCTCCACATACTTCTTTTAAATAGTCTTGTAAATGTAATCCGGTTTGAACATGTTTTCAACTCTTCTATGAAATTGTTCCAACACAAATGTCCTTTCTCAAACAAAAACATCTCTCAGTAACCGCAGACGTTTGAACGGCAGTGTGTGTTCAGTATTCCAGCGCGGCTTCAGTCTGACAGCTGTGTGTGTGTGTGTTTGTCAGGAGCTGCGTCCCAAAGGCATGGACGTGCGGCAGGACGAGCTGGGGGACATGGTGGACAAAGAGATGGCGTCGACGTCGGCCGCTATCGAAGAGGCGGTGCGCAGGATCGATGTGAGTCACGGTGCCCACTCTCCAGCACAATGAACCAGACACTCTTTTTAATCAGCACTTGTTTCCTCCGGTTCTTTGTGTAGGAAATGATGAATCAGGCCAGAAAAGACACGTCCGGCGTCAAACTGGAGGTCAATGAAAGGTGAGCGCCTCAAATCCAACAATACTTTTAGAATCTTCTCTGCATTTAAAGATAATAACATACTTTTTATATTTCTGTGTTTTATTTGTTGATTAGTTACACACCAAATACACATAACACTAGTCAAAAATCAAAAATATATCCTTGCGTCTGTCAGCTAAGGGAGGGTGGTTCTCTTTTTGTGCTTTTCTGTCTGAAAAGCTGATAAAGATGTGACAGAGGCTAAAAATGCAAGCCTGTGATGAGGACGGATGAGGAGCACAGTTAGACAGATGAGAAGGAATAATGTTATTAAAAAAAACAGAATAACCTTAATAACCGTAATAATAATAAGCTTAATAATGCGATGCAATTTGTAAACGTCAGACAAAATAAATGCCTCAACATTTCACATTCTCTGTTGCAGAATTCTAAACAGCTGCACAGACTTGATGAAGGTATGAAGGCTCGGCACTCGCCATTCCAACAAATGACTACTGTAATGGGAACTGAGTGAGTCTAATGGTTGTGTGTCTGTGTCTGTCTGTGTCTGTCTGTGTCTCTGTCTGTGTCTGTCTGTGTTTCTGTCTGTGTCTGTCTGTCTCTGTCTCTCTCGCTGTCTGTCTGTCTGTCTGCCTCTGTCTGTCTGTGTCTGTCTGCCTCTGTCTGTCTCTGTCTCTCTCGCTGTCCGTGTGTCTCTCTGTGTGTCTCTCTGTCTGTCTGCCTCTGTCTGTCTGCCTCTGTCTGTCTCTATCGCTGTCTGTGTGTCTCTCTGTGTGTCTCTCTGTCTGTCTGCCTCTGTCTGCCTCTGTCTGTCTCTGTCTCTCTCGCTGTCCGTGTGTCTCTCTGTGTGTCTCTCTGTCTGTCTGCCTCTGTCTGTCTCTATCGCTGTCCGTGTGTCTCTCTGTGTGTCTCTCTGTCTGTCTGCCTCTGTCTGTCTGCCTCTGTCTGTCTCTATCGCTGTCTGTGTGTCTCTCTGTGTGTCTTCCTTGGTCTGTGTGTCTGTCTGTGTCTCTCTGTGTGTCTCTCTGTGTGTGTCTGTGTCTCTCTGTGTGTCTCTCCCTGGGTCTGTGTGTGTCTGTGTGTCTCTCCCTGGGTCTGTGTGTCTCTGTGTGTGTGTGTGTGTCTGTGTCTCTGTGTGTCTCTCTGTGTGTCTGTGTGTCTCTCTGTGTGTCTCTCCCTGGGTCTGTGTGTGTCTCTCTGTGTCTGTGTCTCTCTGTGTGTGTGTCTGTGTGTCTCTCTGTGTGTCTCTCTCTGTCTGTGTCTGTGTGTGTCCAGGCCATTCGTATGCTGGTGGTGGCCTCTACAGATCTGCAGAAGGAGATAGTGGAGGGTGGAAGGGTGAGTCTCTGTGCATTCACCCCAAAAGCCAAACCAAGGATAAGATTAGAACCATGACAAAAAAACACATTATCAAAACATTTAGGATTAGCTTTCTTACGGTACCAACATCAAGTTATATCACCATCACAAAGACTGCAATCATTCAAGTCCTTTCACAAATCATTCCGTTCATCAATACATGCCATTCTTCATACATTAGCTTTTGTTCCTTTTTATCACATGTCGAGGCTCCTGGAGATACAATATACGCTCAAAACAGAAAAATGCAAAAACTAAAAGAAAAATACCAAATCTATCCTAATATATTTGTCAGGAATTGTTTTTTTCTAGCTTTGTGATGTGTATCATTGTGTAGAAATGTATTTATTTTTGTATTTAGACCTTGTTGAGGTATTATAGTATTAAAAAATGTTATAATCGAGCATTTTATAATTATTGCGGCCATTATTTACTCAATAGCTTAGTGGCCCCAAGCCTTCAAAAGCTTTATATTCAATTAATTGGATTTTCTCTATTATTTTGTATTATTTATATTATTTAATTGTCTTACTATTGCTTTATTTTTGTATTATTATTTTTATTTGTTTATATTATGATTTTTTTTATATATTTTTTTTTATTATTATTTGGCCTGTTGGTTGTAATCTTCCTCTGCTGTGTGTGTTCAGGGAGCTGCGTCCATAAAAGAATTCTACGCCCGTAACTCTCGCTGGACAGAGGGGCTCATCTCTGCAGCCAAAGCCGTGGGCTGGGGCGCCACGGAGCTCGTGTAAGTCTGATCCACGTCTGTAAAATCTAAACCAGGAGCAACCAACCAGGAGTGGGCGGTGAATGAAACGTACAGGCTTTAAAATGCAGTTATTATTGCTTTTACGAGGGTGAGACTCAAAACTAACAAAGCTCCTGGAGATGTTTACAATACCAAAAAATACCAAATACGTAAAATACCGGGTCTAGCTGTATTATTTTGAATGCTGACTTTAAACAGTGTTACAGTATCAATCAATAATCAATCCATCTTCATTTGTAGAACATAATACAAATACACAAATGCCCACAACAATTGAAAATCTCTTTGTGACTCTATTTGTGAAAAGCACCATATAAAGATTATTTACATATGTTACTTATAAAGAGGATTAGTAATAAGTGTTTTGAGCACTTATTTTATTCCTACTGTCCTTGTAATGTCTGATACAGTCTACATCTCTTTAAAATCTTTGGATCGCCCCTAACCCTCACCTCAACCTTAAACCTAATTTTACCCTGATCGTGACTCCGTAGCTCACAATTATAAAAGAAATGGCGACAAAAATTGAATATTTCTCTGAGCCCTGGACAAAATACCAAGATGTTAGCACCACTCTGCATCACTGAGGGATAAAAAAAGGTGATTTTGTCTCTAAACCCTGACATGACCGCAACTATTTAAGTCCTCTTGCAAATTATATAACATACAGATTTTTCCAGTAGTTGTGAGTTTTGACCTCTGCAAAAGTGTGTTTATTAATACATGGGATTCTTGTACAAGTTAGTTTTCTTTCTATCGTATGTCAAAGCTCCTGGAGATGTTTACAATACACAAAAAATAGTATTTGCCGGGAATTGTGCAGAAATCATGCAGTCCTAGTATTTGTGAAAAAAGTAGACATGCACAATTTTTGTCCAATCAGCAGCGTGGTTGTTTTTGTTTGTTTGGTATGAATAAAAATGTATGCATCAAAACCAGATCAATAATAATAATCCAGTAAATCTTTCCCTCAACCCCCTGCTTTTCTTGCGTTCATTCATTTCTTGCTGTCATCTTCAGGGACTCCGCAGACAAAGTGGTGCTGCACACGGGCAAATACGAAGAGCTCATCGTGTGTTCCCATGAGATCGCAGCCAGTACCGCGCAGCTGGTGGCCGCCTCCAAGGTAAGACTCCGGCGTCCCGTTCACCTCCAGCGCCTCTGTCTGGTGATCTCACGTTCTGCTGCTCCGTCAGGTGAAAGCAGACCGCAGCAGTAAGCGCCTGGCCACGCTGCAGCAGGCCTCGCGATGCGTCAACGAGATGGCAGCCAACGTGGTGGCCTCGACCCGGACAGGAAAGGAGAACCTGGCGGAGAAAGGTGAGGAGGAGAGCAGGCCTGGGTCCGTATCCATGACGACTGAATGTGACATGTTTCCATCTCCTCTGTTTCTTTGTGTGTCCTTAGTCTGTGTAATGTGTGTGTAAATATGAATAAAGAATGCATATGTACTGACTCTTCTCAATGCAGACACCATGGACTTCTCAGGGATGTCTCTCATTAAGCTGAAGAAGGAGGAGATGGAGTCGCAGGCAAGTGCACGGGAATACTGTTGGACTGATCTGAAAGCTTTACCAGATATCTTTGAAATCATTCTAGTGTCATTTTTGGTCACATTAATTTCTGTTTGAGATAAGACAGACTTTATTGATCTCTCAATGGATAAAACAATTTGGCACAGATAGAATCACTCAGATTGTGCAAAGAGACAGAAGTGTGCAACATGTTAAGGTTAAACTTTATCAGTGTATGCAAACTAAAAAAGAAATGAGGAAAAATAATTCACGACAAATTCACCTCGAGTGAATTCACGAGGAACTCACGGAATACATTTACAAAGTTTGTTTCTGTCATTTACACATTTATTTACAAAAATACAGAACAATGATTACAGCAGAAAGGTGTTTGTTCTGCCGTCCTGTTATACTAGAGTCATAGAAAACAAACGTACAGACGCAACTGTAAAACATTTAAAGATTCAGGGTCAGTTTTAGACTTTAAGTGTGAATGACATGATTAAAAGTTAAAGTAAAAGTTGATTCCAGAGATTCCGCTCTGACAGATAAACAAAGCTTCGTTACATCAGTTATACATGTCTCCTTTATGAACACGTCTCTTCCTCTCAACTCAATCTAAACGGGATCATTCTCAGAGTGGATTGAGCAAGACTTTTGTAAACCTGGACGCACAGTTAGGAGTAAGAAACACTGTCAGTTTGGCGACAGTTACGTCAAAGGTAGAGATTTTAAACTTCAATATTATGCTAAAGTCATTTCTTTTACTCTTCATGCTAGAGTTAGAGATTTTTTATTTCAGTATAGTTAGTTTAGAGTTATTTTTCATTAATCTCGTGCTGTGTGCTACTAATTCCTACGGTTCTGTAACTGGTGCAACACTGAAATTTCCCCGCTGTGGGATGAATACAAGATCTAACCCCTCAGAGACGGTTCGATCCAGTTTAGTGTTTCACCAACTGGTCTAAAGTGGAAACTAGCATCTCTGATCAAACCGGGCACATGATATATTATTATAAGACTAATGTTTATTGTGTGTTGTCCCTGATCGAATAAATAAATAATATTAAAAACGGACTGAACGCTGATGCTTTGTAAACGCTGGCCCTTCGCAGGTGAAAGTGCTGGAGCTGCAGTCTCTGCTGGAGAACGAGCGCCTGCGTCTGGGAGAGCTGAGGAAGAAGCACTACGAGGTGGTGGGAGTTCCACTGGACAAGGTCGCTGAGGGAAACGGACTGGCCCCAATCCTGGCCCCAACCCTGGCCCCAACCCTGGCCCCAAACCTGGCCCAAAACCTCGCCCCAAACCTCGCCCCAGGGTCCCCCAAGCTGTCCAAACCTGTGATAATGAGGAAGCCCGCACTGGCACAGAAACCCAGCGTCCCATCCAAGAATGTAGTGAGTCCGGTTCACATTTAAGTTCACAGCCTTCGATGATTTGTGACAGAACGACTGCGAGTCTGTTTTCTGCTGTAGGAGACTGCGTTCACCTTCAAACACCAGGCCACATTAACCCAGGGCTGTTTCTAATGTAAAACCACAACATTTGTTTACTGAACAGACCACATGATATACAAATGTAAGGATTTGCACAGATGATGCCAAATTCATGGGTGTAAATAGAACTAAACCTAAAAAAGAATTGGAAAGTTATTGTGTCACATTAACACAACCCAAGAGCCTATATTTTAACATTGTGGTGAAGAGCGGCTGAAAGGTCTGTCCTTGCAACTATGGTAACTGTCAAAGGTCAGACTTTTAGCTTAAGAGCTTATTTCTCTGTAATCCCAGAACCCAATACACCTGGAACAAAAATGGTAAAAAATCTCGTGTCGGCACATATCAGCTATGGTCTAATTATTTTCTCATAAAGGTGTCTTGAAGTTGGCCAGTAGAGACGGCTTTCAGACACTACAGTCACATGGAGGATGTGTGAATCTAACTTTCAAATAATGGTCTGGTAAAAACCAGTTGGACCTCTTTTCCTAAATGATGTATTCCCTATAGAGTTGTATTGGCACCTGTCCTCCCCCCAAATATAATTCTAGAGCATGAATGCAGCCTACTGGTTATGGTTAGAGTCATGAGAAACAAATACAATTGAGAACTACTTTTATCAGAACCCAACCCTGAAGAAAGCATTGTTCAGTGTGCCCCAGGGCAGCTGTGGCCACAGTCGTAGTTTATCACCACTGTCTATGGAGAGAAAGAATAGTGACATGTGAAGCGTCTTTGAGCGTCCGGAAAATCTCTGTATAAGTCAGATGCATTATTATTGTCATTATTATCATTATTATTTTTAGTAGTAGTAGTAGTATCATTATTTGTATTATTATCAGTATTATTATTAGAATTTGTATTATTATTATTATTAGTATTAGTATTATTTTTATCAGTAGTATTATTAGTATTATTAGTATTATTATTAGTATTAGTATTATTATTATCAGTATTAGTATTATTTTTATCAGTATTATTATTAGTATTATCAGTATTAGTATTATTATTATTAGTATTAGTAATATTATTATTATTAGTATCAGTATTATTATCAGTATTAGTATTATTATTATTAGTAGTAGTATTAGTATTATTATTATCAGTATTATTATTATCAGTATTAGTATTATTATTATCAGTATTATTATTAGTTATTTTACCAGATATGACTTTGCGCGTGTGTGTGTGTGTGTGTGTGTGTGTGTGTGTGTGTGTGTGTGTGTGTGTGTGTGTGTGTGTGTGTGTGTGTGTGTGTGTGTGTGTGTATGTATGTATGTGTGTGTGTATGTATGTGTGTGTGTAATTATAAATGTGATTTTGGGGGGTCTGTGGGGAGGAGGGTTTAGGGCTGGGCATGTTGGATTGTTTTTAACTAAACTGTAAAGCACTTTGTGTTACACTTTTTGTATGAAAAGCGCTTTATAAATAAAATTTGATTGATTTGATTGATAGTATTATTATTATCAGTATTAGTATCAGTATTAGCATTATTATTATTAGTATTATTATCATCATTATTATTAGTAGTATTATTATCAGTATTAGCATTATAAATAATTAGTATTATCATTATTATTATTAGTATCATTATTGTCATTATTATTATTATTATTATTGATACAAATCCTGTGTGTGACCCTGAATATGGTCCTTCTGACTTCTGCTACTGTCTAAAATGTTCTGTTTTCCAGTTCAAATGAAAGCCTGATCCGTGGCCAACACTTCGGAGTCGGACCTGACCAAGAATTGTCCGTTTTTAGTTCATCGGATTTGTTTTTTGCCGACAATCTTTGACTCAGACCTCTTTATTTTTGCCAAACCACTTCTGAGAAATCCCCAGGCCTTACCACGCGACGCCCAACACATACGCAAGTCGTACCTGTCGTTTTGGAAATACGGATCAAATGTCTGGGTTTGTTTTGACATGTTAGTTTTTATTGTATCATGAACGTTTTTTAATTTGATTTAAACTCAGTTGATTTTATGAAATGAGGAGAATGAAGTTCTTAAGTGACTGCAACGCCTTCGGACCTTTTCGTGACACCGTGGATTCAAGCTGAAGGATGCCCCCAATGTTTCCCCCGCTGGAAATGTTGACCTCTGTTTTTTATTGCGTGTTCTTCGAGAGGCCGTGAGAGTCCGCAGCTGTGGCCTTAGAGCGGTGAAGGCGCTCGGTGTGGATGTGTTTGTGTGACAGGGCACAGTGAGTGAATGTTGCGTTATGAAATCAAACAGGTTGCCTCCTTTCTTTCCTCTTCTTTGCTCTGTTTGAATTCTCTTTATAAGCTCAGATTTATTAATATATTTTAGTAACGATGATGGTGGTTTCTCATTGTATCATGTGTAGATGTCAAATGGATAATAAATGTTTAATTTGGTTGACATTGTGTGTATTTGGTGTTTGTTTACATTCCCTTGATACAACGAATGAGTACATACTGGCACATACTGGTTGCATAACTTTTGTCAGTGTGTCCCAGGGCGGCTGTGGCTGCAGTAGTAGTTTCGCTCCAAACATGCTGGTGATAGTGAATGTCATGTGGAGCCTTTTTGAGTGTCCAAAAAAGCGCTCAATAAAACCTCCTGTATTGGCCTATTTAAAAAGATAAACTTTCTGTAGCTTTTTCCAAATTGCAGCCTGATTTAAACAGATTAATTAAATATCTGGCAGCCCAAGTGATTGGTTATTAACACTCCCAGAATTTTGACTGCTCTATTCAAACCAATGGGATTCTTGGTTGTGGTGTTAAAAGAAATACTCACATTTCAAAAGTTAATAATAATGACAGTAAACTACACACAGAAACGGAAAAAGTCACGAAAACCAAGAATGTACATGAGATGAGTCACTTCCAAAACTAAAATCCGTCAAATTGACTGCTCTGGGACTGTTCACGGTTCTAGTATCTAGCGTCTGGTGGATCATACAAGTCAGTAGTAGAACGGAGAGCTGTCTGTCCTTGAACGCGGCACGGGCACGCGCACAGGTTTCTGTTTGTCCTGAACACACATACACATACACACGCACACACATACACGCGCACACACACACACATGCACACGCACACACACACGCACACATGCACACGCACACACACAGACAGACACAGACTTGTTGCGTCACAGACCTGCAGTGTCTCGGGCCGTGGGCCATGCGGGAAACAGAAACCTCCGCTCCACAGACCGCTTTGGAGACCTGACCGTTTCAGAGTTAGTGCATTGACTGCACTTACACAGGACACAGTCTGTTTAGTGAAAGTTCCCTGAGACATGGAGAGCTGCGGACAGTCTGCTCTGGACAGGCCGGCGGCAGAGCTCTCGGTTCTGGACGTGTACGACATCGCGGCGCTGCTGGGTCATGAGTTCGAGCGGCTCATAGAGCGCTTCGGCTGCGAGGCCATGGTGGGAGTAGTGCCTAAGGTGGTCCGGGTCCTGGAGCAGCTGGAGACCCTGGTGAACTACGGAGGAGCCAGACACCAGGCCGAAGAACTGCAGCTGGAACTGGACCGACTGAGACAGGAGAGGTCCGACAGGAGCGAGCAGGAGCGACGGCACCAGATGGTCACACACACACACACACACACACACACACACACACACACACACACACACACACACACACACACACACACACACACACACACACACACACACACACACACACACACACACACCCTTATATGTAACGCAGACATGTATATTCATTATTAAACATACACACATATACAGTTGTACTCTTCCATGACAGTGTTGTGGGCAGGCCTAGGCTCCTGCCTGGGCTCCTGCCTGGGCTCCTGCCTGGGCTCCTGCCTGGGCTCCTGCCTGGGCTCCTGCCTGGGCTCCTGCCTGGGCTCCTGCCTGGGCTCCTGCCTGGGCTCCTGCCTGGGCTCCTGCCTGGGCTCCTGCCTGGGCTCCTGCCTGGGCTCCGCCTGGGCTCCTGCCTGGGCTCCTGCCTGGGCTCCTGCCTGGGCTCCTGCCTGGGCTCCTGCCTGGGCTCCTGCCTGGGCTCCTGCCTGGGCTCCTGCCTGGGCTCCTGCCTGGGCTCCTGCCTGGGCTCCTGCCTGGGCTCCTGCCTGGGCTCCTGCCTGGGCTCCTGCCTGGGCTCCTGCCTGGGCTCCTGCCTGGGCTCCTGCCTGGGCTCCTGCCTGGGCTCCTGCCTGGGCTCCTGCCTGGGCTCCTGCCTGGGCTCCTGCCTGGGCTCCTGCCTGGGCTCCTGCCTGGGCTCCTGCCTGGGCTCCTGCCTGGGCTCCTGCCTGGGCTCCTGCCTGGGCTCCTGCCTGGGCTCCTGCCTGGGCTCCTGCCTGGGCTCCTGCCTGGGCTCCTGCCTGGGCTCCTGCCTGGGCTCCTGCCTGGGCTCCTGCCTGGGCTCCTGCCTGGGCTCCTGCCTGGGCTCCTGCCTGGGCTCCTGCCTGGGCTCCTGCCAGGGCTCCTGCCTGGGCTCCTGTCTGGTCTGGGAACATCTCAAATAATAAACAAGTCAGTGCATGTCATGAGGAGGTTATTAGTACAAACTGTCATCTGGTGTTTAGGCCATTCTGGTGGTTGTGGGTCCAATCTGCTGCATTGTATCCGTCAGTGTGGCGTGGAGACTCAAGAGAATAATGAAAAAAATGCGGGGTTTTTGTGTCAGAAATGGTTGTTGTTTATAAGAGCATGTGGTGGTTTTGTGTAGAACCTTCTTCACAGTTCCTGTCTTGTCCTTCAGGAGTTGGAGCTGGTGGAGGACATGTGGAGGTCTGAAGTTCAGGACCTTGTGTCTCAGATCTCTCAGCTGCAGAACGACAACAAGAGGCTGCTGTCCCAGTGTGAGAGCGAGGGTCCGGCGACTGTGGAGCCTCTGCAGCCTCAGGGTGAAGTCTAAACACACTGTAGAACCTGGCTCTGGGAGCAGTAGCTAAACACATACTACACTGGATAATACCAATGTCCTTCATAACGTGTAGT